CGGGCCCCACCTGTTTTGTTTCATCTTTCTGCCGCCACCGATACTGTCAGATTTGTTCTTTTTGTTGGATCGCTAAGGTGCTATGCGTACCCAACTTTCAAGCCATGGACGTGCTGCTGTCGTTCTCCGAAGAGCACCGTTTCTTCGATCGATCCGTCCTATCAGGATTTCTTTGCGCGATTGTCATCATGAAAATAATATTTGATGAGAAGCTAATTCGATAGGTAGGGGGGAGGGGGGAATTGTCATGTTTTCGTCGGAGTTACTACGGACAGTTCCATTCCTCTTATCTTGCCGCGTCGTACCGTACGTAGGTTGCTTCACTTTTTGCACCGTATTCAAAATTCGAGTTGATCAGGTTACTACGCGTTTCGTAACAATTGAATACGGTCGCAAAAGAGAGCAAAAAGTAATAATTTCAAGTTCTTAACTTCGATTTGAAGTTATCAACTTCAAAATGACCTGGTAGAAAGTCTACCAGGTTCTACGGAGCTAGTTTTTGGATTGCATTCATGATTGAAAGGCCGGATTCATGATTGAATCACATCAATCGCCCTGAACCATTTTTTTTGTTTTGAGGGGAATCGTGATTCGGTCATTCAGTCATATTAAAAAACTAGCTCAGTAGAAGCTGGTGGTACATGATGTACGAGCAAAAGTTCATAACTTCAAATCGAAGTTAAGAACTTGAAATTATTACTTTTTGCTCTCTTTTGCAACCGTATTCAATTGTTATGAAACGCGTAGTATGGGACGCCAAACAGGAAACCTGCTTCCTTCTGCTAGAGCTACTACTGSTAATGGCAAGACCCATGCTGGCAAGTTGCGTGTTGGCAATTCCCATACTAACACTAGTAGAAAATTTTAGCTCATTTTTAAACGGAAAACCCATTACATTATTGACTGCCAATGCAATAAAAACAGTTAAAGAAATAGCCATGCAGAATGGCAACAAGAACAACAAAGGGCCACACCAGAATTTTAGTATTCTGCTGATGGAAGAACAACTGGTGATCCCAATCAACCAATACCTGCTGGTGTATGATTTTTTCTGGAAATTTTGCATCACATTTTTTCTGGCATGAAAATAAAGCAGCTACTAACAGTACAGAAACGGTAATGGAAACAGATTTAGTAAAGAAATGGAACTAGAAACAAAAGACCAACACAGCACCAGAAACACCAATCACCACCAACCACCAACCACCAACAAAGAAACACAGCTAATACTGAGACGGAAGCAATGAATGGACTAATATTAGTACTACTAGTAGAACTCCTTCAGTTCCATAAAACCTTGGTGGAGAACTTTGAACAAGCTCTCCTGATTGAAGAGAAGAAATCTGGAAGANTACTAGTAGAACTCCTTCAGTTCCATAAAACCTTGGTGGAGAACTTTGAACAAGCTCTCCTGATTGAAGAGAAGAAATCTGGAAGATGGAAATTCAGAACTTTGAACACCAGGCTCTCCCCCTGATTTGTGGTGAAGACAATGAAGAAATCTGGAAGAAGGAAATTCAGAAATTCTTGGATGATCAGTACAAAGCAATCAATTGGGTCACCAAAGGCTTGAAAAATGAGATCCAGTCTCTCTGACCTACCATTAGTGAGGATATTGATTTGGAAAACAACATTGAAAGAGACAAGGAATTTCTTGCCAGAGGAGGAACATTCTTCTTGTCTCGTCTGCTTGAAAATGTGAAGACAATTTTTGACTACCACATTGCTGAGCATGCCAATCAAAGGAGCCAGTAAGCAAATGATCTGTTTGTGAGAAGTATCAGCTACAAATATCCTCATCTTGGGAACCTCAAGTTGATAGATTGTGAAGCTAAGAAGACCTTGTCTCATCATGCTAAGTACAAGATACATCATCAAGAGATTCAGAAGAAAGCTGCAAAGTATCTTCATCACTCAGATCTGTATCATGGGTTGAAGGAAATAGATTTAAATGTTGGAGTTCACAATAGTATGGATTTCTAGTAGTGTCAGCATGAACTCAAAGTTGATGGGGAATCCCTTGTTCACAAAGTTGGTGGAGATGAGCAGTGGTTGTAGCAGTAGTACAAGAAGCTGCAGCATCCTTCCTACTCTAATATTCTCATTTTGTCAGAGGATCTACCAGTTTTGGGAACAGTAGTAGTTACCAATGATGTGGATTCTGATGATGCAGACAGTAATGAGTTTACTGGTGGCAGTGGTGGTTTTGATGGTGTTCTTCTTGCTGCTGATGATGCTGATGATTATGCTGGTCTTATGGTGACATACCCCACTTCTGTGATGATCTAGTAGACAAGTTTTGGTTACAGGAAAATCTAACTCTCTGTTACCCATGCCCACTGGTGTAAGCCCTGCTTTCTTTGGAATACAATGTGACCATAGATAGAATTATTGCTTTGCTCCCACATAGCAGCGTGGTACTATGTGTGACATGAGCACAAAAATAATTTAAGAATGTAGGATGTCATTGTAATACTTTGTGACAAGGACATTTCTATCAAGGCAACCACCAGCAATAGCTTTACTGCCAAGAGACTTCCAAGCTACTACTACTACTACTACTACTACTACTACTACTACTACTACTACTACTACTACNGGAAATTCAGAACTTTGAACACCAGGCTCTCCCCCTGATTTGTGGTGAAGACAATGAAGAAATCTGGAAGAAGGAAATTCAGGAATTCTTGGATGATCAGTACAAAGCAATCAATTGGGTCACCAAAGGCTTGAAAAATGAGATCCAGTCTCTCTGACCTACCATTAGTGAGGATATTCTTGATTTGGAAAACAACATTGAAAGAGACAAGGCATTTCTGGCCAGAGGAGGAACATTCTTGTCTCGTCTGCTTGAAAATGTGAAGAAACTTTTTGACTGCCATATTGCTGAGCATGCCAATCAAAGGAGCCAGTAAGCAAATGATCTGTTTGTGAGAAGTATCAGCTACAAATAGTATCCTCATCTTGGGAACCTCAAGTTGATAGATTGTGAAGCTAAGAAGACCTTGTCTCATCATGCTAAGTAGTACAAGATACATTATCAAGAGATTCAGAAGAAAACTGCAAAGTATCTTCATCACTCAGATCTATATCATGGGTTGAAGGTAACAGATTTAAATGTTGGAGTTCACAATAGTATGGATTTCTAGTGTCAGCATGAACTCAAAGTTGATGGGGAATCCCTTGTTCACAAAGTTGGTGGAGATGAGCATTGGTTGTAGGATTATCTGCAGTAGTACAAGAAGCTGCAGCATCCTTCCTACTCTAATATTCTCATTTCTTCAGAGGATCTACCAGTTTTGGGAACAGTAGTTACCAATGATGTGGATTCTGATGATGCAGACAACAATGAGTTTACTGGTGGCAGTGGTGGTTTTGATGGTGTTGCTGCTGATGATGCTGATGATAATGCTGGTCTTATGGTGACATACCCCACTTCTGTGATGATCTACTAGTAGACAAGTTTTGGTTACAGGAAAAATCTAACTCCTCTCTTTGTTACCCATCCCCACTGGTGTAAGGCCTGCTTTTGGAATACAATGTGACCATAGATAGAATTATTGCTTTGCTCCCACATAGCAGCGTACTATGTGTGACATGAGCACAAAAATAATTTAATGTAGGATGTCATTGTAATACTTTGTGACAAGGACATTTCTATCAAGGCAGCCAGCAATAGCTTTACTGCCGAGAGACTTCCAAGCTACTACTACTACTACTACTACTACTACTACTACTACTACTACTACTACTACTACCTTGGGGATTTTCTTGCTTGTCCATCTAATGTTACTAACATTACTAACACTTATTTTACATCAGCATAGTAGCATTCATGACAACAAGAATGGTTGCTAGTAGTAACATGAATGATCAATCAAGGAAAAGAGACTACAGATATCATAAAAAATCTCAAGGCAATCATGAACCAAGAGAAGTTCATCTGTTTTCTATCACCCACCAGTAGCTGACGGCAGCAGTACTGGAAAATCAAAAGTGATTCATTCTGTTTGACAATATTGTAAGATGATTTGCAAAGAATTGGGAGTGAGGAACTTTTCCAACAGAACCTTGACCATCACTGGTATGACTAGAATAGAAGCCGGTTGCATCAATGGGGAAATGAGAACACACAAAGCTTACCATCTAAATTCTAMCAGATCTAATGTTACAAATAATGATGCACAGGAAGACAAGACTTGCCTGCTCATTGTTGATTAGATATTATTTGCCAGCATCAAACAGTAAGAAATATTGAATAAGTGRTACTATCTGAACTCATTGTGTGCTGACAAGCTGTCATATAATTTATATTGAGGGCAATATCTACCCATTGTCTTTGCAGGTGACTTCAAACAGCTCAAACCAGTGAGAGGATACTCCCTCTTGGTGTCAAAAAAATCTATCTTTGGAGAGAAAAAACAGCATGACATTTCTTTTTTACTTAAACCAAACCACAGGTTTAAAGATGATGTAATCTGGTCATGGTGGGAGTTTCTTGATGATTTAAGAATACATGACTGGCTTGAAAGAAGAGCATGTTCAAATCATCAATTCAAAAATTCTAAACCTTTTCGACAAACTTGCAGAAGATATTGCTCATGCTGCAACATACAACAATGCATATAAGTGCACAACAAATGATGGGATATTTTCTGAGTTTCTCAAAATGACAAATTCAAAAAACATGCATGACAGATTACTACATATCACAACTAGTATTGTAATCAAGGCCTTAAACCTAGTACCTAAAGCTGCAGATTAACAAAGCAAGAAAATACAGAGACATGCCAGACTTTCAGAACTCTGCTACTTCTTACCAACTGCCACACCAGATGCTGACATTGGTGCTGTTGGAGGTGGAAGCAAATCTTCCAAAAGGATGATAAATCCAATGCTTAAATTGTACAATGGTAGACCTCCTTTCATGATTAAGAATGACAACATACCAGGCAGATGTGCCAATGGATATTTTGTTCAATGTGTGCTCCCAGATGAGAGTGATCACCAAACATGGTGACATACTAGTAGTGTCTACGTCACAACACAGGTGTGTCAACGTGCTATGGGCACACCAGAAGATAGTAACTCACCAGGAAATGTACCCAATCCAGRGCATGTGTTGATACAAACCATTAAGGAGACTGGAGAGGATGGAAAGAGTTGAGAAAGATACTTCCTGCACAAAGACTACATGAGGGAATRTAGTGAGGTCTTCTGTTGGATTGTGAAGCATACTACTATTGTAGAAGCCACCATTGGACCAAAGGATTGAGAGTTCAAGAAAAAGGTATCATTCAGGAACAAGAAGTTGAGCAAGTTCTGCAGTACTAGTAGTGTGAACGATGAGGCTCTTGCATTGGTACTCTAGTTCAACAAACACAATTCATGGACTAAGAAGAACAATAGTATGAAAACAAAGAAAAAGGAAACAATTTACCAGCAGCGCTTTGGGGAGAAAGGAGGGATGGAGTATCGAAGGAAGAACATTGTTCGGAGACATTTGCATGGAGGTACGAAAACGAAGGGAAGAACAAGTACAATACTACGATACATACATGGTACTCATACACACCCTACATTCAACTTTCGACTTCAAACCAGTGGCGGCGCACCGCAAASGACTGAATTTTGAGCTGCTCAACGGTTAATCGTACTCGTACTCGTACTTTAGGTACAAGTACTGACTGAACAGAACGAACTGTGATTGTGCTGTGTGCAGCGATTCGATTCTGGCTTCTGATTKTTACTTTACTTGGGACTGTGTAAAAGACAGGATTGGGAGTAATCGTCTGAAGTGAGAGTGTGTTGCATTACCCTCAACTTTGATCGGAAATTTGACAGACAACGCTGCTGGAGACATAGAAGAACAGGGTGCATCCCACAAACGATAAAGCTTAAAGTGGAGGTCGCGATGACACTGATTAGGACTCCKGGGATGGTAATTGTCTTGGCAATTGCCACGATCATGGGTTTCCAATTCTTAACATGTRTCAAAGAGACCAGCTACTTCGACGTTGGTACGTCCGATATGGTTTATGAAGCGATACCCGCCGGGCTTGCGAACGTCAACGACAAGGGCCACGATGGCTTTGTGGYTGACTACAACAAGGACGATACTGCCGGGCCGTTGAATCCAGCTCAGATCACGCATGTATACCATGTTGGACGCAGAAAGAGATACGGCCGGAGCAACAATCAAATCATTACGATCCTTCACGCAGTGGACATGGCACTCGACGAGCACGGAGATCCACCAAACAATCGCGCCGTGATTGCACTCAGCACTTGGGCATTCAAAGTTCTGAAAACCATATTTTACAACGGACTTGACGGTGAGTCCGAAGCCGAAGCTGACCAAAAATTCGCCCTAGAACTGGAACAACTTCGCCCGGTAATGCTCGTGCACTCCGACCGACTCGAAGCACTCGGACTCACCGACTCRCACAACAAAACACAGGTCAATCTTAAGACCMAAAACTATTACGTTTACACGGGCAAAGAGCACGAAAACAGCAGCTTGAAGGCACAGATCGTGGAACGGCGGAGGCGGATGYTATGGGGCCAGCTATTGGTGAAACACGGTGTTGCCGACAAAAATCTCGTATTGTCCAACGCCGTCAGAGACGTCGTCGAAAAACGGTCGCGTATCTACGGTGACGGCAGTAGCGGCTCTAGATACGCAACCATTCATTCTCGTTGGTTGGAAGGTGAATGCGAGAGGCGTGTTGGCAACATTCTACCAGCGGAAGACGAGTGCTGGATGACTCCATCCTACATCAAGGCAATCATGGGAGGGACTATTGACATGCCTATTGTCTTCATAGGAGATGGCCAAAAGTTAGAAGTTTTAGAAAATCTGAAAAAAGACCCAGATATCGGTCCGGCTCTGATTGTAGCGGGTGAAATCACGCTTCCTGATGGTGTGGAAGCTCCATGGTGGACTCAGCCTTGGAATGATATGATGGTTGCCATCATGGGCGACATATTCATTGGCACACGAGTGAGCACCTTCGCTACCATGACGGGACTTTCGAGGGTGATGAGGGGAGCCGATCCTGGAAGCAATTACATCTATGCGAGACGATCCAACTCCACGGAACAAATCGGCAACAAGCAGACACAAGTGGAAGTTGTCGAGGTTTGCAAAGAGTGCTTGTTTTATTGTAATCAAAAGCAGAGCAATTTCTGTGGCAATGAAGTAATTTTTAGTTAAGGGTTCTAGCGCAATAGATCAACCTTCGACATCGATATACTACCCTTCAGACTATCGTACGAAACTAATCCCAAACTTGGAACAGCAACTCTTTGTTGCATACYGAGACAATCTACTTTCATTATSCATGACGATTMACAATTGCTGCTCATCCTTTCTCCTGCTGCACTTCATGCCATGCAATCTAGGTGTTGTGGTACATAGCACCAGCATGGTGCAACATTCATAATTTTGTTCATGAGCAAGGAAAATTTTGCTTATTAATTGCCAGAGAAGAATGTGTCAAAATAATCCACYGGATTTCCAATACTGCTGGGGGATTTCAGCTAACAAGCTTGCAGGCTACAAACAATTCAATCCTGATGGCAGATAAAGCTAGTATGCAGCAGTGTTTCATTTCAAATTACATTGTGTATGACATTGCTGAATGTACAGTGCATTATGGTTTTATCTGAGTTTAAGAGGCCCCAACCCCACATAGATCCAATTCGGTGATAAATTAGATAATACTGCAGCAGATGGAAGATTGTCCAGTTCCTCAATGAGAAGTGTTAGTTCCAACCACATCTCCTCCATGAAATTTGAATCTTTCTCGAGAAGATTACACAAAAGAAAGCACATAGAGGAGCACCACATTCTTCTTCTCATCTCCATTCTTGAAATTGATTGTGGTGATGATGGTGTCACCATAATTATTCTTATCCATAGATTTGATTATGGCCATTGTATCATAGTATGCCTTTCATCTGCACTCCTCCAAAAAAATTAAGTGACTTCTCTCCTTGTGTAAGGCAAGACAATAACAAACTTTCAACAATTTTCCTGACCGCTTAGCATTATCCTATTCTTGTCCATTTTGTCATCATCTACATCTCTGTCACTGCCTGAAACAGACTCTTTAAATTTGTCCTCCAAATACTTTGTTTGACATGTTTTGTGAATTGTGGCTGAATCAAATCAAAAAAACAAAGAGTAATTCTTTTGTCAATTTGATGCACCCCGACAACCCCAATCAATATACCCCTTCCTGTTTGCTTTGCTGACAGCTGCATTGTCATCAGCCTTCTCCTTCTTCATTGCCTTCTTTATCTCTTTTGCCACTGACTAGAACTCAGCTAGTGTCTGCTCAGTGCTTCTAATACTACTCCAGTGCTTGATGTTAATCCTTTTTGCTCCTTCAAAATGTCCTTCCTCATCTCCATGGCAGCATGGATGGATGCCAGCTTTGCAGCCACATCATAGAGTAGCTTCCAGTTCCTTGTAATCCTTGATTTGATGAGGCCAACCATCTTCACTTCATTGATTAAATCAGTTAGTTCTTGCTTCAAGGGGAAAGCCTCCTTTTGCCCTGGAAAGACAATACTGAGATGAGTGAATTTGATCCTCTTGATTTGCATAAGGAGCTCCTTCTACTATTGATCCAGCAGCTTGAGATACTTCTTCTTCCTTGTAAGGACCTCATAGTAGTAGGCTTTCTTGTACTCCTCAGGATGATTCACAGTGGATGGTAGTTTGCTTGTTGCCTGGAGCTGGTGGAGGACCAGCAGCTTGTTTAATAGGAAACACAACTTCTTTATTGCTTCCCTCTGAATCACCTGAATTGTCATCTCAAGAGGAATCCAACATCTTATCCTTGCTTGGAGGGTCTTTTGCCAGCTCGTGCAGCTTCAACAGACCATCTCTGGCTTCTCTCTCTCTTGCTGTGTGTTCATTGTATAAGGGGGGGAGGAGCTGCTGATTGTTGCCAATGTCAGAAGAAGAAAGTCCACTGAACATGCAATAAAATGGGTTACACTTGCTTGTTTGGTGCTACAGTTCAAGGCTTGTTAAATTGACAATTTAAGAGAGCTATTGATTGACACCAAGTACAGTGTCTGACGATGAATGGAAGTGCTCTACTACTAAAAGCAGATTCCCATGGTAGGTTGGTGCTTCCAACAACTGTGTTTTTTGAATGAATGAAAAGAACAGTTTTAGATGAGCAGAGTGTTGGAGGGAAGTTTTAGGTGGTCCATGACAGTATGGCACAGAAGGATTTTTACTACTCGCAGACAAAACCCTTACATTTTGACCAAAATCTACAGTCTACTACTACCCCCTTGATCCACAATTTTCTAGGAGGCTCTTGGTACTTAATCCTATGAGAGACCATCCCAAGGAAGTGATCTTGGAAGCTGATGAACAGCTGCTGCTACTACTACTAGCCTACATCAGCACGTTCCTCACAGGGGCTAGTACATATCCGATGTAGGCCTACCTAGCTGATGATGGCATCGATCGCATCATTAATTAACAACAAAAATTGGAACGTTAAATTAACGTTGGGAACATGAATTTGTCGCGCGATCACTTGTCATGATATCCGTAGTATGAATTCGTTGCGCAATCAATTGTCATGATATCCGTGCTATGCCAAATCCAAGTTGACAAATCCAAAGATCACTTCCAGGAGAAAGTTTGTACCGTACGAGGTAGGAAGGCAAATGTGTTGCCGAAAAGCCTAACAGGTTATGAGTACAATAAAACGCGCCAGTTTTTAGCTGTGAGCTCTTAACTTTGCTTGCTTGTTAACGCTAACAAAGGACCAATCAGAATTAGATAATCTGTCAGTCGGAAAGGGTTTTCTTTCCTCTTTCCAACAATGTGCACATTGCAGGGTGTTTGCTTTCAAAAACCTATTCGGGCTTGTTGATTTCTCTGGGCACGAAAAATGCAAAAAACTCTCATTTAATCAACCTCAACATAGGGACCTGTCACCCCCTCCTGATATAGCTATCAGCAACACCTCCCAGCAACACACCCACTGGGATAACTTCATTACAACAAGGACAAGGGGATACGGAAGTCTCAGATTGATTGACCGGATAGTTTTGGAGCAACAGGGGACCAAAGCTACAGCAAAAAATCAGTGTGAAAACAGCAACGACGAACTCCACAGTGTAACTAAAACGAATCAACCTTCCCCCCCTTAACAAAGACAACCAGTGTGTTGGACGTCCTTAATACATCAAAGGAGACTTGATCCTGAAGTATCATTGCAATCGACCGGGTATTTTGAAAGAAAAAGCGGTTTTTGCTGTATTTTGAGTGTATTTTGGCCCTGAAATGAGCAATAACAACACCAAGCAGGCCCCTGGAGGGGAAGGAACGCTACAGGAATCCGCAGCAGCACCACAAGAATCGAGGTCAAAGATCATGGAGAGGATGGGGGGTTCATTGGTGCTGACAGCAGAAAGGATGGAAACAACAACAAGCACCAGGAACAAGAAGTTCTGAAAACACAAAGAACAACAGCAACAACAACAGCAACTATTCCTGTTGGYGCTGTACCAAATGGACATGTTGTTGCAGTATGCAGGTGTACACGAATTGCGACAAGGGCCTTGGTAATGGCTAAGGAAGAAGGTGAGGAGGATTGCACCACCAGGAGTGCAATGCTATTTGCCAAGTTCAGTGAATCAGAATGCAAAAGCAAAGCTCTTCGCAGAAGAGTGATGAGGTTCAGGGATAAGCTGGAGCTTGAAAAAGCAGTWGCTGGTGTCCCCTTATCAACCATTGAATATGCTTTACCACCAGACCTATCAGGCCTCACTGGAAGTGTTGGGGTCAGTACCTGTGCTGCTCCTGCTGATAGCTCTAGGAGCTCCAGCAGTAATAGCAAAGATGGAGATAAAGATGGTGACAACACAAATCACCAGATGACGGAGGCAACCAGTACTGTTGGCGACGGTTCTGTTCACACCAACGGTTCCGCAAAGAAGAAGCAGAAGCCTGCACGGAGTGCGCAGTATTTGCATGCAAAGAAGGTTGAGAAGTACAACAAAAACAAGGTGAAAGACGTTGCCTACCTTTCAGTTGCATAAAAAATCAAACACGAACGTGCACTTGGTAATGCGACCAACGTTGTGGCTATGGTTGCAAAGGTTAACAAGCTGTACAACGTTGAACTTTGTCCACAAACTGTTTGGCGTCGTTTGAATGAGGGTCTCGAAAATATTCCCCCACGGTGGAATTCAGGGCGTCCCTCAACTTTGCCAGCAGTGGTGGAGGCTGCACTAGTTGATGCAATTGTCTCATACATAAACCTCGATTGTGCAGAGATGGAAGAACAACTGAATCAGAAGACAGTGACACACATGATAGCTTCTTGTCTTAATGGTGGACCAACCATACTAAAGAATTTTGAAAGACTTTACGATTGTTTGTCAACTTTGTTCTCACCTCATGTCAATATTGTTACTGGTTCGTCAAAAGTAGAAGACAGAAGAGCAAAGTGGACTACCTATAACAATATCAACTTGTGGTTCAACACACTGAAGAGTAGGTTGATTTCTGGAGGATGGGCGAGAGAAAAGACAGCAAATGACAGTGAGGTTGAAGGAGAGCTTGTCTTTTTTGAGGGTCAACTAAATCGGATTTTAAACCTAGACGAGAGTGGGTTGACGCTCGACGGCAATCATTCTTTGAGTGGGGGTCGTTCCTCTACAAGATTCTGCTCTTCGAATCCTGCAATTGCATCAGGTGCAGATAGAACAAACAAGAGTAGTGTTCGGGTGACTTTTATTGCAGGAAGCACCGCTGCTGGTTCTCCGCTCCCCCTGCATTTTCAACTTAAGACGAAGGCCAAAGACGAGGACAAAAAGATTCAAGATGCTTTCGTTGAAGGTGTTCCCTATGTTGAAGGTGTGTACGGTGATAATAAATTGACAGCAAACGGTATCACTGTCAACTGTAATGCCACAGCAGGGATGGATGCGAAGGAATTTCATCAGTTCATGATGGATTTGATTGTAAAACTATTTCCAGACGCAGCTGATTTGCCTCGGAAAAGAGTTCTCATCATTGTGGACAGCGGGCCAGGGCGAAAGGACCTCGGCTTATTGGCGAAGCTCAAGGCAAGGGGGTTCTATTTGCATGCTGGTGTCCCCAATACTACGCATGTAACGCAACCCACCAATCAGAATTATGGTCCGTTCAAGTCGATGTATCGTCGCAATTTGGAGTCACTGGTTCGTTACCGGAGAGAACGAAA